CGCGGATAGAAAGGCTCTAGCTAGAACACCGCTGTTTGGAGAGAATGTGGTGTCGAGGGTGCGGATGCAGAACTTGAGGTGACTGAAGTGGGAGAAGCTGGTGTTGATGAGAGGGGCTCGGAAAGGGAGTTTTCCGACATTGACCGGCCGCTCAGGGGCGTGATCGGGGATTCCGTTGTTGATTGGGCGACGGTAGTTGAGGAAGGGGCTATTTTGTTGATGATACGATTTAGCATGAAGGTGAGGAAGGTGAAAGAGACGCTGTGGACAGGGGAGGAGGAGAGTACTTCGAGGATTCGTGATTGGGACTGTTCAGAAGATAACGATGGGGATTTGGACTTTTCGTTGCTTATTAGCAGCAGCTCTAATTCGCGCCAGAGTGGAGCGGTGACCATGCGCCCATGAATTGATTTGAGAAATGCTAGGAGCGTCTCTGACAGGAGTTCGACCTTATATTGGCATGGGAGCTCAGGGGGAAATACGGATGTAAGAGACGCATTAGTGTCTAGGGCATCTCGGGTGCAGGAAAGCAGATGATATCGTTCGTGATTATCTGTCAAGGCCCATGTTTTCTCTTCGAACGGCCAACCTGTTATCTCAGAATCCCAAGGCGGTGGATCGGTTTCGGAATTTTTATCCCCAAACTTTCCCCACTCCGCGACAGCTCGTTCGGTAAGCTCAGCTATCGCGTCTGTCAATCTGAACAGTTCACGAGGAGCTGATACACGGCTACCTTCGACTTCATGACTTTCGCTTGAGAGTAACCATTGACCGTTGATATCCAGGTGTCGAGCCCCATTTTCAGGCATCCGCGTAAGCTCATCTAGAGAGAAGCCAAAGCATGTCGGAAGCCAGCAAGCGTATACCGGGATGAAGTAGTCCCTCCCGTTAGTGAGTTGTAAAACTAATATGTCCTCGATTTTCGCCCGCCCTTTATTTAGATCTCGGACATAATTAATGTCGTATATACATAGAATTAGCTGTACATTCATCGTTTCACCAGGCTGTAGTGTGTACTCCTGGTGATCTTTTGGATGTTGGCCATCACCATCAGGATATGCATCTACCCGAATATGAAACCAGGAAGGAGTCGAACTTCCTTCTCCTCCTTTGCCTGAAGGCCGATAATGAAAATTCAACGTTGCCGGGGCCCCACTTGTATTTGCAATAGTCAAGTTTCGCGACACGGGAACATCGTATCGTACTTGACCAAAGTTGACAGCATTCGGATCATTCGCAACGGAAGTCGTTTCGTTGTCCCCCGTATTATTCTCTGGTTGATTTTCTACAACAATTGTCACCCCCGGACGACACTCGTTTTCTGCTTTGTCTATTTCCCGAACAACTTCCTGATGGATTTTGGCCTTCAGCTCCGGGTCGACGGCATCAAAATTGAGAATAAATTCCGCATCCAACGGCTTATGGTCGGATGACACGATCTCTTGATGTGATGTATAATAAAGCATCTGGATCGTGTCTTTCGGTTCCGCCTGACCATCACAAGAAGGATTTATAGGATCCCCCACATCTTCTTGCTCGTTATAATCGTTGGCGCCATCTAAGTCCGGATCGTAGTCAAAAAGAATGTTATCTTCTTCCGCTCCCAGTCCTAGACCAAGAGCCTTCATTTCCTCGTCTCTTTTCTTTGCTTCCTCAGCCTCTTTAACCTTCTGTTTATATTCTAAACGATCACGCCGTGTTCGAAATAGGATTCGATCGCACCAGCTTGGCCCACGTTGTTTTTCACTCGAGTCAAATGTGCCTGCGGTTCCGATGTCGTATTTGTAGGTTGGCAGAAATGAAATATCCCCCTCTCTCCAACCATCTTGAAGTGCTTTCCCGGTACGCTGTTGTCTGTGAAGTTGGTCATGAGGGAGTAGAGAGGAAAGGGTAGTCTCAAGAGATGCTGGATCAAGAAGCGGTTCCACGATACAATTGTCCTCCAGGGTTATAGGCGGCTTAGGAGATCCAAGATTTGACATCTGGTGTATTGGCAGTTGGCCAGAGTAAGCATGGCCATCGCCATCGCTGCTTTGTGATGAAGGGGAAAGTGGCATATTCTCATCAGGAATCCAAGGAGACCTCATAGCGCCAAACGTATTTCCCGTATGTAAATGTAGTAGCGCCGTATATCATCTCCAGGTATATCGTCCAGTCGATAATTAAGGTCACCAAA